AGGAGGACTAAAATCCTAAGGCGAGAATAAAATTTTTTGGTGACCAAAATTTTGGTAGCTGAAAGTGCATCTTCGGCGACCAAATCCGATTTTGGTTGACAAAAGTTAAGGTTTTTAGCAACTAAAAAACAATTAGTAGCCAAAAGTATAGAATTTGCGACTAAAAAATATTTTTAGTCACCAAAAGTGGTCTTTTTTTTATTTTGGTAGTAAATAGTTTATTTTACATAAATTATGTTCAATAAAATAATTATGTTTATACATATACTTTTATATTAATATGGATGTATGTACTATATAAATAATATATGTTGCATATATAATCATGTGGTGGTATAGAGGTGTAGCGGGAAGAGTGTGGTATATAAGGTTTATGGTGCGGAAGGTTGGCGGTTCGAGTCTCCGCAAGAGCGGATCAAATTATTCTACAACAAATTATCGTCATGAATGGCACTTGATAGCGTCACGAATAGTGCCTACCATGACATTAAAGTGTCACTGAAAGGTCTTAGTCTTGATAGTGTAATGACACTTACAAGTGTCACTAAATGTTTTTTTAATGGCGCTTGATAGTGCCACAAATAATATTTACCATGACATTAAAATGTCATTGAAAATTTTTAGCCATGATGGTGCAGTGGCACTTGCAAGTATCTATCGTGGCACTCGTATCTACTGTGGCACCGATAGAAGTGGCACTTGTTCAAAATGCCACAAGACCAAAAAATGTCATTAGAAGAATAGTTTTGTGGCACTTTCTAATATCACTAAACTAAGAAAATGTTGTAGTGTAACACCGCTATGCCCTTTCCTCTGTTAGGGACTTCCACAAAATGAAAGCGTTTTGATCTTCTATCCAATCCAGAGAGACGAGTTAGATACTAAATAAACGACCTAATCCAACTATTTCAATGCCTTAATCCACCGGTCATTCTCACTCGAATAGAGGGGCACCACTTGACCCTTGCGTAAGAGAAAAAATTTCCCACCCATCCTCCTATGGCTTTTTAGTAGAAGGGTTGTTGTATGCTTCGAATTATTCAGTGTGTTTGGCTTGAGTTTTTTGAATTAAGTTTTTTGAAAATTATGTTTTTTAGTTTTCGTATTTTTTTATTTTTAGTGAATATTTTTTAAATTTTAAATATTTTTTTTACTTTTTAGATGTACCTTACTTAGATGTATCTAAAAAGTAAAAAATTTGTGAAAAAATATTTTAAAAAATTAATAAATACATAAAAATATAACAAATGTACTGAATTCTTGTATTTTTTTTATATTTTGGGTATTTAGTGAATTTTTAAAAGGTTTTCTTCACAAATTTTTTACTTTTTAGATACATCTAAGTTAGATATGTCTAGAAATTTAAAAAATTGCTTAAAATATTTAAAAAAATCAATAAAAAAAAAATTACGGAAAATAAGAAAGTAGAATTTTCTGAAAAGTATTTTTTCAAAGGGGAAACCAAGCATAGTAATTGTTATTTGATCCGGACCTGTTCTAGAAAAAGTCAAGATATTTCGAATTATTTGTTGACACAGAGTGCCTCTTCGTCGTCTTCTTTCTCTCAGGTCTTATACTACAAAAAATTAAAATTTTAAAGACCAAAATTTAAAGACAAAATTATTTTTTAGGGACCAAATATTTTTGTTGCGAAAAGTGCCATTATTATATTTTTAGCAATGAAAATTGGACATTATTGATGAACTATTATACTTTTCGGACTAAATTTTTTGTCTCAATAAATGAACTATTTTGGGACCAAATTATTTTGTCCCTAAAAATTTATTTATTAGTGACATTTTCAAAATTTTGCCTTAATTTTTTACTTTTCAGAATGACTTTTAACGACTATCCTCACGACAATAAAAATTAGTCTCTAAATACCTTATATAACAAAATTTTCACTTTTAGAGATCACAAAAATTTGTCTCTAAACTCTTAGGTGTCGTTTGGTAACACTTACGTTTTCAGTTTTCTGTTTATATTTACAAAAATTTAAAAAACTCAAATAAAAACTTGTTTGATAAAATTTTTGATTTATAAATCAGTGGTTTTCTCACTCCTTTTTATATTTTAAAATTGTTTTAAACATTTTGTCAATTACCAAATGCGTTTGTAGTTTAAATAAACAAAAAAATAAACAAAAATCAGTTTATAAAATTTTTGTAAATATAAACTGAAAACGTAAACGTTACCAAACACACCCTTATATGTTGTAGTATTATTTGTTTAAGAAGTCCACATCTGGACCATCGCTTTCCCTTGAGCTAAGCTTTTGAAGCAAGATTAGAGCTTCCTTCTTTCCGTAGCTAGATCTTGCTCTTGTGGTTTCTGGGGATGAGGTAACTTTAAGTAGGTAATTAAATTTGGCTTTTAATTTGCATTTAAGGTTAGATATATATGTAGATAATAATATAAAGTAATATTTATAACATATAAAAGATATATAATTTGTTTTTTGAGATTGAGCTTCAAACTTGATTAATGTTTAATATCGAGCTCAAACTTGAATTCTAACTCAAAATTTTAACAAACAAACTGAGTTCGAACATTGTACCCTATTTCGGCCCCACTTGAGCAACTTGGTTTTGTCCTACCCACCTCATTTATAAATTAAGGCCTCGTTTGGGAACAGGCTTTTTTAGTAATTTTTTGATTTTTTGGTTAAAATATGATGTAAAAAAAGCTAGTATGTTTGGGATGACTTTTTGGTTTTTTATGAAAAGATGTGCAAAAAGTAGAGAGAAAATGGAATCTTTGACTTTTTGGTATAATTTATTGACTTTTTGATTTTTTTAGTAACTTTTTGACTTTTAGGCTAAAAGAGACCGTTCCCAAACGAGGCCTAAGTTTACTTGGTCATATAGCAAAAGGACAAAAGATTATTTAAATAAGATGCATCTTAACCGCAATTTCCGTACATTAATCATGGAAATCTAGCCAATTATATGCTTGATAATTAACTATAAACTTAAGGGTTAAGTTTATTCACTTGTGCCAGGAGATCGTGTTTGATTTCATATATAACAAATAAATAAATCAGAAATAAATAAATAAATAAAATTAATAATTCTAGTGACTTGAAAATTTTAATTTGAGAAAAGTCCATATTTTAATGATATTTTGTACATATTTTAAATCTAGATAAAATTTTAAATATGTAACAAAACTGATAAATAATAATAATAATAATAATAATAATATTTGTACTGAGCACTTGGTATGTTATTTTATGTTACCATACTATGATGATATCAGTAATATGGACAAGATAACCATAACAAAAAATATGTATTCAATTCTAATAAACAATATTGTTAAGGTACAATTCATTTGACTTTTCTTAATAAACAAATTGATTTAACAGATAGGGTCATGTGGGGAGGATAAATACTTTGTATGAATGGGGAACTGGGGCAGAAGTTGATGAGATCATCATCAATGAAGTATTATATTATTTATATATCAGGTAAATGACTTTTATTGAAGAGAAGGTCATTTTGATTGATGAATAATGCTGCATATAAAATTTTCAAAAAATTTAACGTGTAATCCAATTTTATTCAAGACATGACGTTCACCATATAAAAGTTCAATGTCAACTATACATTAACTATCTCACATGAGATTGGGGTTTGAACTTGCAACCTGCACTGCTGGGAGTTGGGGAGAATGTCACTTGGCAAATAGGCTTTGACATTTTCTGTGTAAGTTACTATGCGTGGATCTGTACGCATATTTTTACAATTTATTAGATCGATATCTTAATTAGGTCATCAATTCTATGTCTCCTGCTTTTTTTTTTTTTTTTTATCTTTTGTTTTTGTTTTTTTTTTTTTTGATCAGTAAAGAAAAATTTCATTAAACAACATGAAATTAAAAGTACAAGAAGATGACATGCATTGAGAGAGATTCGGAAGTATAAAAATATCCCTACTACTGCTATTCGGAAGTATCAAATGTCTCCTGCTTCATACACTCCCACTCATATAACCTTATGTTTTGTTAATTTTCAATTTAAAAAAATAAATAAAATAATGCAACACTGTAAATATTACACGGGAAGAACAATATAACGTTTGCACAACATAAATTTTTTAAGAATAGAAAATCGCATCCTCAATTTATTTGGTTGAGGAGACATTTGATTTGAGTGCTCTTGGTTGAGGGTAGTTGAGTTCTTCATTGTATTAAAGTAGTAATTAATGTAGAGGATTGGGAAAATATAGGTTTTGGGTTTGAATGGGAACAGTTGTTTGCTTTAAATATGAAAATAGCCCACCCTACAGCCTTTAGCAGCCCTTGTAGAGATATAAATATGACAAAGAAAAGTACCCACCAAGTCCCCTTTGAATTCAAGACAAAAATAACATAAAGGGGTAAAATATTATGTCATGAATTTTTCTTCACCCTTTAAATAAAGTTTATTTATGTTTTTTTTTCCATCACTTAAAATTGTAATTACTAATTTTCCTTCACTATCTCTTCTATATTTTCATTCTCTATATTATAATATTGAAAGATGAAATAATAAAATTACAACTATGAACGACAAAAATAATGCAAACTGCATACTTTAAAAATGTTATGTGTATTTTATTACTACCATTTTGTTAATCATATAAACCACTCAATTAAAATTAAATCAATTTGTCTCCAATTAGAAACTTAGCATATAAATTTGCAAAATTAAAACTTGCAATACTAAAGCAACACAGAACGCAAACTTTAAGCACAATGTTTGTAATTGTATCATTTTTTAATTAAACATCTTAATTATTCATGCAGCATATGAATCATGGCATTAGAAGGGCAAAATAGGGCTTTCACAAGGAAGGACACCCCATTAGCCATGAATTGCCAAAATCATTTAGATTAGACAAATCAAAATCAACATAAGGGTCGGTTTCACATTGAAATATAATAATCAAAAGGTGATTTGGATTATTTTCACATTTTGCTTGCACGTCCTTTATAAACTATGCCACTTGCCCATCTGTCATCATTAGGTCCCATTTTTGAAAAAACAAAACCCATCCCAACCAATCTTTCTGCACCTTCCCCCATTTCTTCTTCCTTCCTCTCTCTCTCTCTCTCTGTCTCTCTGTGCAACTTTTAAAATCGCCATCATCAGTATATCATCAAGCCTAAAAACATCTCAAGCTTTAGTGGGTGCCACTCCAAAACCCTAGCTATGGAAGGAAGATTTAGCAACCACCCATTTATAAATGAGCAAGAAGACATCGAAAACTCACCAGAAAACAGCGAAGATACGCTTCGTTCCGGCATGCTCAACGACACCAAGACCACTTCTACCTCCTCCCCTAAAAGAAGGTTGGTATTACCCATAAATATTCATATTTATGTAAATCTACGTACAATTCTACTATAAACACATAAATGAAACGAAGGTAAAATTTTACAAAATTTCTTAGTAAGACTCGTTTTTTAAAAAAATTATCTATTTAGATATATTATTTGTTCGATTCTGTAACTGATTTATATGCTTAAGTTTATGAAATTATTCATCTAGAAATGGATTAGATACTTTTAGGGTTTCATTTTCCTGATTCATGTGCATGAGTGTACTAACTACGTCGTGGGGTTTGATTCAGTAGGCGCGCTGCACAGAAAAGAGTGGTCTCCATCCCGATCGGAGACATCGAAGGGTCGAGGCTGAAGGGGGAGAGTGCTCCACCGTCTGATTCATGGGCTTGGAGGAAGTACGGTCAGAAACCCATCAAAGGCTCACCTTACCCCAGGTAATCCAATTCCCCAATTTCACTTCGTTGTAACACAGCGTATGATCTAATTGTAGGACTAAGTGCAATCAAACCGTTCGATTTTGATCAAACGGTGTGATTTTGGCAGAGGGTACTACCGGTGCAGTAGCTCCAAAGGATGTCCGGCCAGAAAACAAGTAGAGAGAAGCCACGTCGACCCCACCATGGTAGTGGTGACGTACTCCTGCGAGCACAACCACGCTTTGCCGGCGTCCAAAAACAATCACCACCAAAACCACCAACAACCCACCATCATCTCCGCCACTACCCCCGCCGCGGCCGAGGCAGCTACACCGGTCTCGCCGCCTCTACTTTTCGACAATTTGGGAGAAGAAGAGTCTCAGATCAACGCTTACCAATTCGAGTGGTTTTCACATTTGGAATCGGTATCATCAACCGTGCTCGAAAGCCCGATGTTGGATAGCGGTGGTGGCGGCAGCGGCGGTGATGGGGCGTTGATTTTTACGATAAGGGAGGAGGATGAGTCGTTGTTCGGTGACTTAGGGGAGCTGCCGGAGTGCGCGGTGGTGTTCCGGCGAGGGGTGAGGGAGAGGGAGGAGGAGGAGAGGCGGCGGTGTAATTTGGCACCGTGGTGTGGGACCACAGGGTGAGATCTTATGACACGTGTTGGTTTTGGATTTGTCTTTTGTTCATTTGCTGAGCTGGATATACAATGATTTCAACGATGGAGTGCGTATCGTGCGCCTTAAGATACCCAATTTTTATTTCTTTTTTAATTTGATCATTTTATTTCATATTTATTTTATTTTATATTGTCCAGATTTCAGTGTCGTAAATAACGAAATAAAAATGTCCGATTCTGGTTTTTGTCTTCATCTTGCTGTATTTACAATCATGACCGTCGGTTGCCAACGGCTACATCATAATCAAAGCCCTCTTAACTTGGGAAGTGGTTGGCTTTTTGGCTTTTTAGCTTTTTGGCTATTTTAGCCTGGGCTATTTTAGCCTGGTTTGGGAAGGGCTTTTTGGCTTTTTGACTTTTTTGATTTTTTTTGTGAGAGATGATTGTAATGATTATGGGTTGGATTTGATGTTTTATTTTTTGTGGCTAAAATAGCCTATTTTGTTTTTTGTGGCTATTTTAGCCAAAAAAGCCTGGCTTTTTGCTTGCCAAACGGAGACTGAGTGTAGTTGTTATGAGATTGAAATTAATTATAATTAGACACAACTTTCTCACCCTTTATGTTCATCTCACCTTGTATGTCTCGTGTGAAAGGATTGTGAAGTCCATCTCATATAAGAGGGTTATTTAGTCTGTTTATATGTTCTTAAACTTTTTAATTATGAATACTCTTGAAAGACAAAGTACTAAGGTATAAAGAAATGGTTTTAACATGGCTAAGAAAAATGATGAGCTTTTTAGCATTTTAATTTTTTACTCTCGTCACATTATGCTTTCTAAGAAGAAACTCTGCTCTATATGGGGAGAAGATGGTGCTTCTAGTCATTCTCTCTTCTTAGTTTCTTCTCCTGTGCTTTTCTTTTTCTTTTTTTATTTATCACCATGTTAGCCACTATCGCTTCTCTCGTCTGCATATAATTCTTGACCGAGATCTAACGCTGCTAAATACGTTATTATATGTTAGGTGACCATCTTATATCCAAAATATTTTATTTTGTAATGTAGATGTGGGAATTCAGGTACCACAACTATCGGTTGCATCGATAGAGGAATCATGAAGGTGATTGATAATGTTTGTTTGGTAGTGATTGTGTTGTTTCTATTTATTTATTGGTTGCAATAATGCCTCTATGTAGAGACTTTCTCCTCCTCGTATGGAATTTTATTTTTTCTCCTTATGTGGAGCCTCATATCCTCCCTACAAGAAGGTTCTCTATATCTCTAGTGGGATCTATATTGTACTCCGATGTAGTTTGGCCTCGTTTGGCAATATTCAATTTTAATCAAAAAGTCAAAGTCACTATAAGTTATCACATCATTTTCTCTATTTTTTTACACATCTTTTTGTAAAAAGTCAAAAAATTACTAAAATAACATGTCGACGACTTATTGTTGAATATGCAATAAATTAAAACTTGTGCTTTTTCATCCAAATTAAAATATATAAAATAATAATAATAATAATAATAAAAAAGAAGTTACTCTTGAAGGAAATTTAAGTAGTGTTTTAAATAAGTAAGAGTTGAGCTTCACTTATTTAAATTTTACATAGTTTGAAGGGCTTGTAGGTTTACTATTGATCTCGATGATCTGAATAGTTTATTTGTCAGTGTCTTTTGTGTATATCATTTATGAAAACAACTAGGTCAATTTAATGATCATGACCTTCTTCTTCTTTTTTATCTATAACAAAATAACTAGTCTAATTTCAAATACATATTTATCGGCTTATTTTTTGAAAATATAATAATAATCTTGCTTTTCTCTTAAAGTTCTATATTTTCTCATATTGGCCCTTTAATTGTTTACTTTTCGCAATTAGTCCAAGAAATAGATGGTAAGATTTGAGATTTTCATTTCAAATGCCATTATTTTTTAATAAAATGTGATTGATTTTGTCGGAAAATGGTAGTTGCGGTTTTTTTTTTTTTTATGTAGTTTGTGAAAATATTCAAACCAAAATTACCCTAGATCTTCATGGGACTACTTGGTATTTTGCTTCTTTCTGATTTTCATATTGTTGGTTAGCTTAGTTTGTGAACATTCAAAACAAAATTACCCTAGATCTTCATGGGACTACTTGGTATTTTGCTTCTTTCTGATTTTCATATTGTTGGTTAGCTTTGGGATTATGAATCTAGTTCAAATGATGAAATGTTGCAACTAAATTACAATTAAAATTGTCTATGTAAAGTTGTATGCCACCATTCTACTGCAGACAATTTCATCAGTTTTTCCCTCTTCGAAGGATGACAAATTTCACAAGATGTAAAAGAATGCAGCTTATTAGAACATTTTTATTATGAGAATTAGTATTTTTTTCTAATGATAACAATCAATATATAAAATAAATTTTTTTTAAAAAAGGCAAATTACTTACACATTACCTCTTCCAAATGCTGTTGCAAGCAAAACCTTGTGCAAAGGATATGATTTTTTTTTTTCCTCCTCTTATTTCATCTATCATATATAGAAAATATAATTTTAAATTGTGTTTCGATATTAAATTTGTAAAATAACTTAGAGAGAGGGAAGATTAATATGAAGAAAAAAAATTAGTTTATATTTTTTTTCCTCCAGAAATCTTTCTCTAAATTTTAAAATCAAACAAAACCTTAACATGATGTTAATTGTAAAATTTTATTGTTGCAATTGCTAATTTAGGACTTCGGATTAGAGTTTAGGGTATGAGATAATTCATTCCCCATCATCTGCCACAAATTACATGTAAGACTTGCTTTGCATTTATTCAAGGGTTTATTGGTGATAAGTTTATTTCTATAGAGGGATATAACATTAAGGCTTCGTTTGGCATGCGAGTGTTTTAATCTAAAAATCAAAAAGTTATTAAAAAAATTAAAAAGCCTATAACATATACCAAAAAATTAAAGATTTTCTTTTCTTTCTAATTTTTTCACATCTCTTCGTAAAAAACTAAAAAGTCATTCCAAACATACTAATTTTTTTTACCTCATATTTTAGCCAATAAGCCAAAAAATTACTAAAATAGTATGTTCCCAAACAAGGCCTAAGTCTAAAAATTAATCTTTTTTGATAATACGGATATGATTAATGAAATTGTTTGATGAAAAGAACAAACTATTATTTTGAAAATATATATATATATATATATATATATGTATAACACGAGAGGTAAAGACATATCTAATCTTATGGGCAAAAAGACTCTGTAATCCATTGATAAATTTATCTTTCCAAAATGAATTAGTGCAATCCTCTCTAAGCATGACACGAGAGGTAAAGACATCTTTATACCAACGAAAATCACTTAAAGTAGGGCAAGTGAGATTACTAAGTTGATCATGGATGCAAGAATGGATATAAGTAGGTGTTCCAATAAAATGTTTGACTATAGTAAATATTAAAATAGATAGAATATTTTAAATAAGAACAGATAAGTAGAAATAAAATAAACTTACAATTATTTAAATTAACTTACAATCGTTTACTGGAAGTAATCGAAAAATACAGAATGGTTTACTGGAAGTAACTGGAAAATACAACTTTTATTTGCATCCTTAAAAACTGAATTTTAAAACAAACTAGAAATTTTACAGAAACTAAGAGAAACTATGAAAGAAAATTGTGAAAAAAAAAAAAAATTCTCGGTTACAGAAAGATACTCTCAGCACCCATGTGCCTCTGATATTCAAGCTTTTCAAGTCATAAGTTTCACAGTATTATCCAACTTTTAAAGTCACAAGCCTTACAGTTTCAGTCACGGGCCTCGCAGTTCCCAGTTCACAAGCTCAACAGTTATCCACTTTGCCTATAAAAGAAGCTCCTCAGTCAAGGCCAATCCAGAGTTGGAAAGAGTTCATAATTTTCTTTCACAGTTTCTCTCAGTTTCAGTAAAATTTCTAATTTGTTTTAAAATTCAGTTTTTAAGAATGCAAATAGAAGCTGTATTTTCCTTACTTCCAATAAACCATTCTGTATTTTCCGATTACTTCCAGTAAACGATTGTAAGTTAATTTAAACGATTGTAAGTTTATTTTATTTTTGCTTATTTGTTCTTATTTAAAATATTCTATCTATTTTATTTTAATTCATTTACTTTAGTTTATTTAACTTTTATTTATGTGCTGCTTCCGCCTCTCAGAGCCAAGCTTGTTGATGATATTAGCTTATTGTTTCGTTATTTCTGCTTAATTTCTTCTCATTTCCATCTCTGTTTATTAATTCCAGTCTTCTTATTTCCTACTAACTTATCTTTGTTTTCCACTCTGCCAATTGTCACTCACCTTTCGTCCTACATCTAGTGTAAGTCCTTAAGATAGGCAGGTGATAGATATCAGGGTTTCCGGAAAGAGTATGTACGAACACATAGTATGTTATATAAGAATTTAAGAAAGTTGAATTAATTTACAGAATAAAAATGAGTCGATTATTCAGAAGTAACTCTTTAGTAAGCTCTAGATCTACTACAACTTTAGCTCCTATACCTAATACATATTTAGTCATAAACGAAGAAGAGCATGAATTTCATGATATTAAACTTAATTTAAGTTGGAATATCCCAAAAGTACCAGTTAAAGAAATCTATAGAATAAGTTTTTTAAAGTCAACTTTTAATGTTAATTTACATGTTAGAACTATTGAACAAGTTTATACGTTAACTAAAATTAGAGAAACTTACCAGTTATTATCCAAAGAGTCAATTCGCCAACATCTAAAAAATGGTCATAATTTTATTCATCTAGGATTAATTCAAGTTGGAATCAAACCATTAACCATGCAAGGATGCAATACTTCTGTCCTCTTATGTTTACGAGATGCTCGATTTATTAATTATCATGATAATCTAATGGGTATGATGGAATCAGGCCTCCATAAAGGACCTATCCACTTTAATTTTTTTCTAGATTTTATTTTAAGTCTTAGAGATCCTCATATATTAAAAGCCTTAACATTAAACATTCAACTATCTGGTGCATTTACTAATATGCTAGATAATGTCCATAACATTGCTTTAGTTTACAGAATTTACTACAAATGCATTAAAACAAATCTGAATGTTCAAGCTTTAACCAAAAGTCCAAAAGTTAAAACATTACTCATTCAAGGTAGTACTACTGAAACCAATATTTTAGTTCCAAAAATGATTTGTTGGAAATATATCACCCTTCCTGATGATTGAGTTACAGTTAATGAAAATTATTCTTAAAATCA